GCGACCGAGGAGGCGAGGAGCCAGCCACGGAGCCGCCCCGGCGCCCCCACCCCGCCGGCCCGCCCTGCTGCCAGTGCCCAGCGGCCGTCCAGCCTCCAGCGGCAGCGGTCCAGGCGTCCAGCGACGAGCCACTCCGCTCCCAGTCCGCTCCGGCGCTCTGCCTCCGCCAGATCCCTGCCTCCCTGGTGGCCTCGCCTGCCAGCAATCCAGCGCGGCAGCCGGCAGCGCCAGCCAACGTCGGCCAGAAGTCCAGCACTGCACAGCAGGCAGCTGGCTACGCCAGCGCGGCAGCGGCCGTCCGCCCTTCCCCGGTGACCCGGTCCCCTGGAGGCCTCTGTCAGTCTGTGTCTGTCTCACTGTCTGTCCTGGTCTCCTGGATGCACTGCTGCCTGGTGAGTTCTTTTGAATTTTGTTAGAGATTTGTTGTTGACTTCTTGTGAATGAAATCAGAGCATAGAATTGAGAATTCTTGTGAGCCTAGAATTGAATGGAAATTGTTGTAATTTTTCAGGAAGTTGAGGCATGAAGAAATCAAATATAGCATTTCTTTTTCAGAAGCATGAGGCAAAAAAAGTTGCAACTTGTGCTCCACCAATTCCACCTGTTGATGAAGAGTTGTCTATTCCTGTTGTAGAAGATCCTCTAATTGTGAGTGATGAAAGTGCTATCGTAGTTGTGGATGAAGGGACAGAAACACCTAGAGTAACAGATACAGACACAGATCCTACTGGAGATAATGGGTCAGATGAAGTTGAAGAAGAAGAGGAAGAAGAACCGCCTATGGCTGCTGATGTTGATTCCCTTGAGCATGACCCGGGCATAAGGAGTCCTATTTCAACCTTTGATGTGAATGAACAAGATTCTATCAGAAGAAGGTACATTTTAAAAGGCCCCTGTCATCTTTATGCCTATAATTATCCATCCAGAAAAATCTATGGCAAAGATCGCCGCTTTAGTTTTGTTTGGTTTCATAAGTACCATTGGATTGAATATAGCGTAGAGATGGATGCAGCATATTGCTTCTATTGTTATTTGTTTGGTAAGGAAAGTGGAAAATTTATTACGGATGGTTGGCATAATTGGAATATGGGAATTATATCACTTGACAAACATGAGTCTTCAACTTTACACAAGTTTGCTCAAGAGAAATACAGCTTATTTGTGAAAAAGGGTACAAAAATTGATACTGTCATTGAGAAGGTGTCAGAAAAGGATCGAGTTGATTACAAGGCTAGGTTGACTTATTCACTTAGATGTTTGAGATTCCTTCTACATCAAGGATTGGCTTGTCGTGGGCATGATGAAACCGAAGAATCTAACAACAGAGGAAACTTCCTTGAACTCTTGAATTGGCTTGCAGGAAATAATGAAGAGGTGCACAAAGTGGTCCTGAAAAATGCCCTGTAATTGCATTTTGACCTCCCTCGCATACAAAAAAAGCAAATTATTAGATGTTGCTCTGAGGAAACCACTAGATACATACTTGAAGAACTTGGGGATGACTACTATGCAATTCTAGTTGATGAATGTAGTGATATATCACATAAAGAACAATGGCTGTTTGTTTTGCGTTATGTTGATAAACGTGGAAGTGTTTGTGAAAGGTTTCTTGGAGTAGTTCATGTTCGTGGCACCACTTCTTTGGAACTTAAAACAGTATTCAATCTTTACTCACTAGTCATCACTTGAGTCTTAGTTCTTGTCGTGGGCAAGGATATGATGGGGCTAGTAACATGAAAGGAGAGGTTAAGGGGCTGAAAACACTGATAATGAAAGAGTCTCCTTCGCTTATTATTATGTGCATTGTTTTGCACATCAACTCCAATTAGTGCTTGTTCTTTGTTGCCAAGGGAGATGTTGGGGCTAGTACTTTTTTTGCTCAAGTTTCACGCTTGCTGAATATTGTTGGAGTTTCTTGCAAACGCCATGATATGCTTCGAGATGTTAGAGCACGAAAATTGAAGAAAGCACTTGAATTGGGTGAAATAGAAAGTGGAAGTGGGTTAAATCAAGAGATGGGATTGGCTAGGCCTGGTGATACTAGGTGGGGTTCTCATTATAGAACTGTTTTGCATATCATTGACATGTATTCTACCATTCGGGAAGTACTCATAACTCTTGGAAAGGATCCCACACAAAGAGATGATTGGCCAAACATACATGCTATGGTTCTGACTTTAGAGTCATTTGAGTTTGTTTTCAATGCCCACTTGATGCTTGTGATTCTTGGGTACACAAATGAGTTGTCTCAATCTTTGCAAAAGAGAGACCAAGATATTGTTAATGCAATGGCACTTGTTGGTGTGGCAAAGAGAAGGTTCCAACAATTGAGGTCTAATGGGTGGGAAGATTTCTTAGAAAAGGTTAAATCATTTTGCATCGAATATTCTATTGATGTTCCTGCAATGGATAGCAAATATGAGCCTCATGGAAGATCCCATCGCTTTTATCCTGTACAAACAATTGATGATCACTATAGAAGAGAAGTGTTTATTGGTATTATTGATAGAATTCATCAAGAGTTTGAGAATCGGTTTGATGAGGTTAGTAGGGAGTTGCTTATTTGTATGTCAGCATTGAATCCTTCCAATTCATTTGTCTCGTTTGATGCTAAGAAAATCCTTAAGCTTGCAACTTTTTATCCCAAAGATTTTCCAAGTTCTGCTTTGAGGACACTTGAAATTCAACTTGGCACATATATTGAAGATGTGAGAATGGATGATAGATTTGAAGGACTGAACAACCTCGGTGAGCTCTCTAACAAGCTTGTTGACACTAAGAAACATGAATTTTATGGTTTGGTGTACTTAGTCCTTAAATTAGCATTGATCTTACCAATGGCGACAGCAAGTGTTGAAAGAGTATTCTCTGCATTGTGTTTAGTGAAGAATAAGTTGAGAAATAGTATGAGTGATAGGTTATTGAATGATTGTTTGGTTACTTTTATTGAGCGTGATATATTCTCCACTGTAAGCGAGGATGACATAGTTCATGCTTTCATGGCAATGAGAAAGCGCAAAGCAAAAGCTTTGAACTAGAACTTGTATTGTAATCTCTTATTTATGTAAGACCTTATCTTATGTATAATCTATAAGTTTTGAACCTTTCAATTGTATTATCTCAATTTGGTTAATTTATAAGCATTTTACCGAACTTTTTCTTTGAATTTTGTCGTGTTGCATATAAATTTTTTTGACTAAGACTACCTGGTTTCAAATCCTGGGTCTGCCACTGGGCTGCCGGTGAACTTTTTCCCGAGGAAGCCGTCGTTGACTAAGTAGGGAACCAATCTGCGTTGTTACCAGCTCCGGTTCTTCATCATCGTCAAAAGTCTCAGAGTCATGCTTGTTTGACGCCGAACATAATAAAAGAACAGAGAAATAAAAAAAACATTGACGCATTAAGCTGAACATATCATTACATGGACTAACACAAATCGCACCAGCTGAAGTAGCACAAAAGCTGTAACATCATGCGTGCATTGAAAACAAGATATTAAATTATTAATACTTCGTAGAGACGACAATCATAATCATCTGGTTGATATCGTAAAATATTATTTAGATGCATGTGTATCCACCTCAATTCACATGTGTTGGATTGAATTGAATGTAATTTAGTTCAATTACACTTTAATACAGGTGGATTAAAATAAATACTTACGCATTCAAACAAGGCTTAAAAGACTAGTAATCCAAAGACTAGTAATCCTCATCGATTCCGTAATGGAAACAGTAGTCCATATACGTCCTGCAGTGGCAACCAGCCTCCTCTGATGAAGTATCTTCGGTCGTCAAGCTTCAGAGGGTGTAGCACAAGTCCCGAGCTAGCAGATGACTTGGAACGTCCATGGTGTAGTTGAAGCGGTAATGATATAGACAGGGCGTCCGAATGGCCGGGCGAACCGTTCCACGGTCCGTTCCCTCGCACTCGCACTTCCCCCGATTCAGACGCTCCCCTTTTCGCTCTCTCCCTTTTCGCACAATGCCCGCTTCCTCGCCTCTCTCTCCCCCCTTTCCTGCCCGCTCTCTACGGGCCGTCCTCGGGATTTGGGACACAGCTTTCAAGACGCTGAGCTTCGCCCAGCCCCGCCGCCCGTGCTCCCTCCCTCCCTCCGTCCCTCGCCCTTCCGCGACGACCTCCATGCACCCTCACGCTCCCTGCGACCTAGCTCCCGCACCCCCACCGGAGACGAGGACAACGGCGACGGCTCCGAAGAGGTAGGTCGCGGAGGGATCTGGATCTGAGCCCTACTCCTCGTCCCTGTTGCAATGGGTTTTTTTCTTTGATGTTGCAACAGATGATTTCGAATGTTGCAATAGGATTTTTTGGTTGTTGTAACAGATGTTTTTGCGATGTTGCAGTACTACTGCTTGAGATGTTGCAGTACATTTTTCGAATGTTGCAGCATAATTTTTTGATGTTGCAGTACACATTTTTTCGATGTTGCAGTATATGTTTTTTCGATGTTGCAGTACATGTTTTTCAATGTTGAAGGACACATTTTTTCGTTGTTGCGATAGATTTTTTCGATGTCGCGGTGCATGTGTTTTCAATGTTGCACTACATATTTTTTTTCGATATTACAGTACATATTTTTCGTTCTCTAGGAGGAGGTGAAGGACGTGCTGGCGTGGGACAAGTCTGAGCGGCTCCATCAGTGGGCCGCGTGCATGGCGGGCGCCAAGTTCGCCGGCATGACGCTCAGCTACGTGGCCAAGATGGAGGCGGACGCGGCGCTGCGGAGGTGTGGGCTGAGGGGATACGAAACCAGAGGAGTGGAAGGCGGCTGCCTCCTCCTGTGTCGCCATGGATGAAGAAGAGCCAGGGAACGAAAGGGGGCGACGAACACGACGCCGACCGCTGGTGGTGCGTGATACGGTGGAAGCTGCGGCGGGGGAGAGGAGGTTACGCTATCCTCAGCGTGAGGCTCAAGCCGGCCAGGCCCAAAAGAAATGGCCCTTTTTTCGTTTCCTGGGAGCCAGGAAAGAGAATGAGATTTACACTGTGGGTGCCCGGCTCACAAGTGGGCCAATGCCACCAAACACGAGCAGTGCACCCTGAAGCGTAGCCAGGCCCATGGGCCACCCTTGCAAGCACGCCCCTGGAGACCCACTTGCGGGTGCAGCCGCAAGTAGTGGCTGAGCATGAGTTCCGCGATGCCTTGAGCCACAAAGCGAGCGGCCTTCAGGCATTGGTCCGTCACAACGCGGGGGACTAGCTCCGTATAATAAGGTCAGTCTCAATGGAATTTTATCAGAGTTTTATAGACATTAAATATATTGATGTGGCACCATATTAATAAAGAGAGATGATAAGAGTTTCACGAAAGGAAAGAGAGTTCCATGGAGATGAAACTCTTATATACTGTTTCTAAAATATGATATGTTAGAAATTAGTACATGACACCCGTTCAGATTGGACTAAGCAGGCAAAAGAAGAGTCCGAGTCGTCGTCCCCGGTCCCCCGGCAGATGCGGCAGCTCACCTGGATCTAGTTCCAGCTAGCTGGTGGAGAGCAGCACGGGCACGACCGTAGGTGTCGCGGCACTGATGCTTCTCCCTCTTGACCCGCTCGGCTTCGGATCGAAAGAGGTTCAGCTCGCTCCGGAGCTTTCCGAGCTCGGCCTTCATTTCTTCGTTCTCCCTGGACAGATCAGTCAGCTCCTGTCGTGTAGCTGTGGAAAGTGGCAGATGGTGCTCCGAAGCGGCGAGCAGGGAATCGGCAACCATAGTCCGTTGCACTGAAGCTGGGAGGCTGTTGCATGCAGGAATGCTGTGAGACGTGGAGAGAGCACAACGGGCGGCGAGAACTCATGAATGAAGGGGTGCGGTGCCTACTTACGGAGAACAAGAAGAAAGACGCCCACTGCCGAGATCTCTGTCGAAGATCTGGGGTGCGGGTGCGAGAGTCCCGCAGGCGGAAGGAGCCGAAGACCGCCCGCCATCGTCCATCTCCGTCTCCGTGGGGAGCAGCCATTTCCGGCGCCTCCACACGCGCGTGCCGCCAGACGTCGCGGCCGGGGGCTGCTCCATCTCCACGGGAACGGGCGTGGCCATCCTCTGGATACGCAGGGAGCGCTCTAGCTCGCACAGCGGACGCGCCTCCTTCGGGGCCACGGTGTCGAGGCCCGAGGTCCCGAGAACCTCCTCCAACCCGTCACTCATCTGGCTCGGGCTCAGGCCACCATCTGCTGCATGCGCAAGAAATGTACTCATGAAAATATTGTTTCCACAAAAATGATGCATGACAACCTTTGTATATGCCAGAAGAAAGGAACCAAATGCATCAGCACAAAGTTGTTAACTATACCAAGGGCCATATCTATTCGGACTCGTGTGTATTGCAATCTTACGTTTAAGGAGGTGGCTGGCCGTGGAGCGAACTGACATGAAAATGAGGGAGAGGCTGCATGCTTACCTTCGGGGAAAGTCCGCGTGTCGTCGTCCTGTCCAGTGCAAACCCTCTCTATAGGTCTATTATTTTCACGAAGCTTTCGAACAACATCCTTGGTCATCGGATCAATGTCACTATGTGATGGCCACTGTTTGTTAGGCCCATTTGTGGCAGAGCAAGGATGGTTGTGTTGCACCTCAAACCGAGAAATAACCCATCCATGATCACTGGTGCGATGGAGCCTAACCATGGCTTTGCACTCAGTCCCCCTGCATGTTGCTTCCCTTTTGTTCATGCCCTGGTTTAGCAATTAGAAAAATGATGAGGACAATTTCAATGGCATTGTCAATACTAAAAATAAGAAACGTAAGCATGTAGTTTTCTATATTACCTCACATGAGCATACAAAATCCTGCCTGGTTATATAATTGTTGACATTGGTTTTGTTTCTACCTCTTCTAATGCCAAATCCAATTTCCCATGAATATAAGTTATAGAAATCTTTTGCTTCTTTGGCTGAGTTGAACTCCGTGCCAACGGCAGGCACGAAAACAGGCTGCCCCTTGCGACTGGTAGAAGTTCGGATTGCCTCAGTAATAGCACTTTGTTCCATACGTGAAATCCTTGAATCTGGACCGTGTTTGCCTCTCTTCCTGCATTGAAACGAGATATATACTGAATTTATAACTTGAAAAGTCTATACAGATGTCCCATCATCACTGCACACTGTCACGAGGGCCAAGGTATCAAATATGCCAGGTCTTGCTATGTTTAGGACAAACTGATGGTTCTTCATTCAGCCTACCAATGTTCATGGTTCCAACCTAATGGAAAACTAGTACGGCTTCAGTTCAACCTAATTAAATCACACACAGAAAAAAAAATAAACATAATGACCCATGTCTCTGAATGCAAGCACTTCGCTACCAAAATACAGCTCCATGTCTTCTCACCCTAAACCTGTTAAAGGAGCAAAAAATCCTCAAGCAGTGCTGCACCACCTACGACGCCGATGCAATTCAATGATAAAAATAGTTGTTGCTGATGGATTGGTTACCTCTTAAGGAGATTTTGATGTTGCCCGACCTGGTGCGACGATGAAGCAGAAAATAGAGATCCAGGAATCGCAAGACCAGCAGGAGTATCGCCGTTGCGAACTCGATGATTTTCTTGAATCCCCTGGATCTGCGATTCAGGGGTACTCTGCTTCTGTGTCGGCTGTCTCAATTGCGTGGCCGAATCGCAGACGGCTTGCGATCCGCCGGCAAATACTGCAGGCTCCCCGGAACAACCCGTGAAAGACGAATGAGATAGCCGGGCGGGGTCGGAGGCTGGGAAGAAAAGGTCAGCTTGGATTGCTCGGCTACGGGCGCGCCGGGGTGCAGGGGTAGGGACCGCAGTGGCGCGGACGCCGGGGTGCCGGGCGGAGGCGAGGAAGAAAGGGTCAGCTTGGGCTGCTGGTGGTAAAGAGCGCACGGAGACTGCTCCACTGCTCGTCTGCTGGCGCGTTTGTTTCCTCGGCCCAGACGGCCGCCAGCCCCGCCAGCCCCCCCAAAAGAATGGTGGTAGGAGCAGGGAAGAAGAAAAGGATAACTCTACCCAAGCTGAGGCAAGGTGCCTAAATTCGTTCGTTTGTGCAGTCTACCAAATAATGTTCCACCTCCATACCCAGAAACAAACACGAGTAGTTAGACTATCTCCAACAATACTGACCCAAGCAGGAGACTCATCGGTTAGAATGCGTCGCGCCGTGGAAAAAGGTCACGTACCTATTTTCGTTGTTTTCCAACAGGAAACGCAAAAGAAGATGCACTGACGGCTTCCTCTCACTCTTAGCAGTGCATGCAGGGCGTGGTCCCCACGGGTCTGGTCTCCCTTTCTCTCAGCAACGAATGGACAGGAGCAAACGGAGCGTACGAGCGGCGCCCAGATGCATGCAAGCGCGGGCCCCACACGCACTCTCCTTCTCACACGAACTGCAGAGCACCAACAATAGGTCGACGGCGCGTGACCCATTGGCCGGAGCATGCGACGTGTATTTGGGCTGCGCCTCGCCTCGCACGTATTTTGCGTCCTTGGTATGCCTATCCTGTTGGAGGCTATTTTTTTACGCTAAAATAAGATGAAGCATGTATTTTGGGTTTAGGTATCGTTATAGATAGGTTGTTAGAGATAGTCTTGCGCCTCTAATTCTAGCCAATCTCCACGTGAGCCACCCTTCTCCAATCACTCAGACACGCCCTAAAAGACGCGCCGGCCGCTAGTGCGTTGGCTGCCTGCTTGCAGGGCAGTCTCGACTCTCGATGGCTCTTCACGACAACCAACATTTGCGAACATGCTGTAGCAGGTGCTATCTTCACCGTAAAAGCTTCTCTCGAGATCTCTGCCAGCCTTTACCTGTATTTTCATTTGTATTCCTACTATTCCTTCAAAAAATGTATCACAACAGAAAAAAAACGGCGAGACCCGTCACTCTCTCCTCGATCTGGCCGCACAGGTCACGCGTCACGGTCAGGCTACTTATATGCTAGTTTTAGTACTAGCATATAAGCAGCGGGATGGAACGTATTCATAATTTAATCCGCACACATATAGCTAAATAAAACTGCAATATGCGCACTTTATTTGAAGAATTAATAGCTAGGTAATACTGGTGTTGTACGCTCAAGGCTTCAAAGATACTCAATCCATCCCACGTTTAACTTTTTTGATACTAAGGGCCTCTTTGGTACGGCTTATGCCGGCTTCGGCTTCATCTATTTTACGCAAATCGAGGCACTGTAGCGTGAAGCCGTTTTGTAAGCCGGGGTTAAAATGAACTAGAAGCCTGAAAAAACCAGTTTTCCTGGCTTCACCGGCTTTGGCTTCATCGGTGAAGCCGTTTTGGATGAACGGTGCCAAAGGGGGCTTAAGTTTGACCACACGTCTTATTCAAAAATTTAATGCAAAATATCTCTTCTTTTGTCATAGCTTGGTTTATTAATAAAAGTTCTTCAAAGATGATTTAAATTTGACTATATTTGCATAAATTTTTTGAATAAGACGAATGGTCAATGTAAAAAAAGTCATACGTCTTATAATTTGGGATGGAGGGTACGTTGAAGATAGGACATCAATAGCCAGATATATAGCCACCATCATCTGGTTGAACCTCACATATATTCCTAATAATCTTCAAAGTAAGGATATGAAACGTATTGTCGTCATTCATCATCAACGTAATCGATATAGTTGTGGTAATAATCGGCCTCGAGGTACTTGCAGAACATCTTCCAAATATACAGTCGATTTGGAATGGGCATGGTGTGGTTGCACAGGAGCTGCGTTAATGTCAAAGGGCGCAGGTTGTCCATAGCTGCCGAGACCAGCTCTGGTTCTTCTTCATCATCATAAATTCCAATGTTAAACTTGTAGATGTAACACTGGTTCGTGCCACGGACGGTGAGTTCGAAGTAAGCGCAGTTGGCCTCAACTGTTGGGAAGCCATCGGTGTCAACGACAAGGCACCTGACGCCGAGGAATAGAGCTTGCCTCCCGATGCTCTTCACCCTCTCCATGACGTTCCCTGAAGAGTCAATCTTGAACACATCCATGCCACGGCGCCGCTTCAAGACCGCCAACATATCCCCGCCGGCGGCCACAACCGCGTAACAACGACAGCCCCCGTCGTCGTCCTCAGACGGAAGCAGATCGACCATGTCCTCGGCATCAGACGACACACAGATTCACGGTTCACGGCTGCGGCGATCTGGGGTAGCCTGCTTGCAGGACATTCACGGTGCCTCATATCAGAGTCACAGAAACACTCGCTCTGGGGTTCCGCCCAGTACACCAAGCTACACCCGACGGCGACCAGGACTAGTGTAGGGGATGAGCCGACAACGTCGGCAGTGAACCGGAGCCACAGACCCGACTCGCCCGGCAGTGGCGCCGCAAAACGGATCAAGGAGCCGGTAAAGAGGTTGAGGACGCTCACGGCGTGCGGGGGTGTCCTGGCCGCCAGAACGATGAGGCCGCCGGTGGTGCTTGTGACGAAGAGGTAGTCAATGTCCCTGTCGCTGTCGCGGTCAGGGAGGAGCTGCAATCTCCTGCGGAGGAATCGGCCGGTGGCGGTGTTGACGAAGACGAACGGACCGTAAGTGTTAACGGCGGAGGAGACCTCGTGTTCATCCAGCATGACCCACCGGGTGGGGCGAAAGCGGGGTCATGCTGGTTGCTCCCGGGTCGGCGGTGACGAAGCGCCAGTGGTGGCAGACGGCGCGAAGGCCGGTGTAGCAGTCGAGGTCGTTGGTGGCCAGGAGGCAGTCGGCGACGCGGTTCACGAGGTCCGCCGGAAGCGACGACCAGCCCTGAGCCATGGCCTCGATCGATCGACCCTCGAGGTTTAGGGTTTTGATGTCTGTTTGCTGACTCTGAGGCTGGTGAAGAGAGCACGGTGTGGTGGCCTGGTGGGGTTAAATAGCAGAGCCAGCGGCAAGCCTTGAGGTCGATCGAGCGGAAGAAGAAAGGATCATCTGGCGATCCACTGCACCTGCATGCATTGCCATTAATTACTGCTCGCTGCAGTTACGCTCATCGGAAATCACCATGCCGCCGGCGCCTCCTAGGCTCCCGTGCGAGGTTTGATTCCTACTACGCCCGAGGTGGACGTGGACCGCGGGAGCTGGTCGATCCAACTCCCTCCAACGTCATCACTGCTAAACAGAAAACAACTCAAGTGAAGCCAGGTAGCCAATCCTCCAAATTTCAGACTCGAATTCAGCCCAAATATTGCTCCACAGATCGTGCTTCTAACTTCTTATTAGCAAATGGACACGAAGATAATGGGCTTTCTAGCCCAAATACAGCCCGTAAAATGAGAGAGCATATACATTCTGGAGTATGTACGCGATATCAAAAATCGGACGAGAACTATTCAAACATCCGGTACTATTCTTCTAAAACTTCTAACACGATCCTAGATTCCTAGCCGGCTTATATATATACACGGTCACAACTCAAACGTGATCCACTAATTATGCTTGCTTTCAATCAACCCCCAAAAACAAATGAGTCAAGGATGTCGCATGTAGCCACCTATGTAAGTACCGTCTGTCGCTAGAGGAAGTTATTTGAGCTCGTTCCATTGAGGGTTCAAAATTATGAAAAAGTTCTCCAACTGAACTTCTATTATTTAGCCCTGGGTGGATGAGAGCATCTCATCCCTCTCTTCTCAACCTCTCTTCTGAACCCTAACATACACAAGCCTCTCATCCTCAACCCCCCCCTACTTCTCTAGCTCTTCCCACAAAGCTTGCAAGTGGGACCGATGAGTAGGGCCTATGTCTTACTCGTGCCCTTATCATTGTTGGTTTTTACACAACCGGAGTCGAATATATTTCACCGCCGGTTCTATGGCTAGGGCGGCACGGTGACCAAATGAACTGGCGGTGATAAGTGTATTCATCACTGGTTGGGCATTTGAACCGGCTGAAATAATAAGGGTCCATTTCACCGTGGGCCGAAACGACCAGTGCACCAATTTGTATTGGACCAGCTGTGAAAGAAAATGTCAGCGCCTGATAACAATTCTCGTTGTTCTATCCGACAATGAAAATTGTTTTCTATTAACGAATCGTAAAATGAACCGGTACGGTGGTCAAATAAGGCTGCATCATCGACACCATTTTTTATCCCTTTATTTTCTCTCAAAATTAGAGCATCATCTCACTCTCTAAATTATCATTTCAAGAGTCATTTGCATAAAATTCATTTTCTATATCTTTCTATTCTCTAATGGTTTTTTATATCTTGTTTGTATTCTAAAGGTCATTCTCGTTTTCTATTTTTGGCTAGCGAAAAATCCAAAAATAGAGATGGCTATATTTGATAACCAATTAAAGAAACTATTGTGGGATATTTTTCACTACAGTTTATATATTAATAATTAGAAAGGATATAGAGAGTCTCTTGGAGTTGCTCTTATAGCTTCCTACGCCTAGAGCTAAATTTATGGATGAAATGTCTTATGTGACATGGTGCAGGTTTAAACACTATTTAAGAAGTGCAAAAGGATAGTTAAAAGGTACAATAATATTAAGCAGTCAATAAAAAATAAAGTTTGAAAAATCAAAATTAAGACTCATGACTTCTTATAAAGTAAAGGAGAAAAAACATACAAATACAAATATATTAAACAGTAACTAATAATACTTCTTACCTCTGAGCACGGATCGAATGTCCATAGTACGTGTAGTTGCAGAGGAGGTGCGTTAAAGTGTAAGGGCGCAAGTTGTCCATGTAAGGGCAGTCACAATGAAAGAAATTAGTAGTTTCTATAACATAGGATACTACACCAAAAAAGTACTGCTTTTCAACCCATGATTTCTATGAGTAATAATTATTTTCTCTTTCTCTCTTCCAACTCTATCTTCTTCCTCCAAGGGGTTAAATAGTAGAGCCAGCAGGCAGGTGATGTGAAACCTCCAACATGAGAAGAAGAAAGGGTCGAAAGTGACGATCCACTGCACCTGCATGCATGAATGCATTGCAATTTACTGCTCGCTGTAGTTACGCTCATCGGAAATTACCACGCCGGCGCCGCCTAGGCTGTAGTCCCGTGTGAGGGTTGATTCGTGCGTGCTCCGCTCGTGGTGGACCGTGGTAGTAGCTGCCTAGCTGGTCATTCCAGCTTCCTCCAACGTCATTGCTGCTCGTGCTCGAACAATAACTCAAGCCAAAGCCTCTAAATTTCAGATTCAAATTCAGCCCAAACCATCGCTCAACAAATCGGGCTTCTAACTTTTTATTATGGAGATGATGATAATGGGCTTTCTAGCCTAAATACTGCCCATAAAATAAGAAACCTGGTTGTTGCCGTCGTTTGTAAAAGTGAATAGTGATAATACTTCACCGTCGGCCCAGCCTACCATCGAACGATGACGAGGTTTTCGTCACCATGGGTACCGCGTCGACGATGATAATACATCTTTAGAATATTAAATTGATATGTAGCGTAATAACTAATAGTATTATTAATGTGATTACATCAAGCCTACGACCTCAACGATGCATATACATTAAGTTCGAGCCATGACATACATCAAATCCAGCCACAAGTAAAACAATCCAGAAGAGGAGAGAGAAATTAGGTTAATGGTTTAGGTAAACTATAATTAGTTTAGATTGAATTCCTCCGGTGGCGGCTTAAATTCAACCTCATACTATTTAATTATTGAAAATTTTGATTTATTTTTTTGAAAAACTTAACTTGATTATGTTATTTGCTAAGTAATATTTTAATTAAACTTTTAAACTATGATTTTGAAATAGAAAAAAGAGAGGATGTTTTGAAGAAAAAAAAACATTTCTCTAACACTACTATATAATTGATTTTCACCAACAGGAGCTTTTTTCTATAGAGACGGTTCTGTTTCCACAATGGCGTCCTAATCGAACCATCTCTCAAAATATATTTGTAGAGGCAGTTCTATTTCTAGTGACCTCTACAGCAGCATCCAAAGTTCCAAACCGAGTTGTCTCTAAAAATATATTTGTAGAGACGGTTCTATTTCCAGTCGCCTCTATAGTAGTGTCCTAACTGAGCAGCCTTAAAAATACACTTGCAGAGACGGTTCTATTTCCAGCAGCCTCTAAAATTTAGTTTTTAGAGGCGGCTCTATTCCCGGCCACCTCTATAAATGCCCTTTTTTTAGAGGCGGTAGGAAACAGAGTCGCCTCTAAAATTGGAGATGCATAGTAAAATTTTATTTTTCAAACAATCTCGGTTGAAGAAACGACCAAAACAAAAGTTATAAATCTCAAAAAGTTATGCAACTGTGCAGTTGATAACTTTTTTATTTGATATCATCTATTCAAGAAAAATTATGTTTGAATTTCTTAAATTTGAAATTCATAATTTTTAAATGACCTCGTATGGATAAACGACCAAAATAAAAGTTGTATATTTCAAAAAGTTACACAACTTTGTAGTTGATAGCTTTTTCATTTGAATTCATTTACGGTCCCAAATACTTATTTTAAAATCGAATGAAGATAAAATGAGGTGTACGAATATCTAATATGAACACAAGTGCCTTGTGGGTGGAGTGGTTAGGGAAGATATATGTAAGACGTGAGGTTGCGGCCGGTTGAGCTCACCCACAGCCGCGAAGTACCCTTTTTTTGAGTGAAAAATTGTGTGACTTGTAGCAGCGGCCTAAATTCGTGATTTCTAGCGACAAAAATCTTTTAATTAAATTATGTAATTTAATGATCTATATTTATATTAGAAAGATATGATAAAAAATTCTTGCCGCCATATATATTTTTTCTATGTCTTCGGACAATAAAACCACACAAAATGCAATTAGAATGGACTATTTCGAATATAGAAACTTTTTTGCCTACCGTATAAGGACACATTTATTGAAATGTTAGGTTTTACTAAGTGTGTACTTACATTTCATCCTATTTTACGGTTTACTTAATGTGTATTTAACTAGCAATCAAGGTTCTATGGGCAACAAATGCACCTCGAAAAATCTAAATAGATGAGCTACGCTCAGATCGTATATATTGAAACTTTTTGACCGTCCCCCTCTTATATAATTCCTGGCTCCACCACTGATTTCTAGGCAATAATTTGTAGTTGCAAAAAATATAGTATTTTTATATATTGCATAAATAAATAAAACCGGGATCGTTACATCTTGGCTGCACTCGGATGTCTTCTTGCATCAGGTGTGATGGATGCTTTAGAAGCACATGAACTGTGTGGTCCGCCAATCGCCATCCATCATCACGTTACATCTAGGCTGCACTCGGATGTCTAATGTCTTCTTGCATCTGGTGTGACTGTGATGGATGCTTTAGAAGCACATGAACGATGTGGTGCGCCATCCACCAGTCGTTTTGCTGCAGCCTGCTAGGATGCATGCAGCCCACATATGGAAGTACCGCTGCCTAGCTATACTGGAGAGAGTTACAGTGCCGCAACGGTGTACTTTAGTTTCCCCATCCCCCCTCTCGATCTCTCGGCTTGTTAACACCCCAAAGCTACAACTCCTTTGGCTGAGCAAAAAAAAAATTACGTTGCTCCTAATCAACCATATCATAGATGGGAAGCATTTTTTAAAGGGGAAATAATTTCAATAAAAAAAATTCAAAACCGTTAATTTTTAGGGGGGGGCAAAAAGGGCTCCAGAAAACCATGCATGGATTATATATGTCTTTCATCGTAAGGTATGTACATCGATAGACCGAGTCTGACTCGGACGACGAGCCAACAATTTCATTGATCTCAGCAATGCAATGCTAACTCGTCATCAGCTTGTTTGAGCTGACGCTGATCAATGAAAGATGCATCATGCGTGCATCT